CGGCCGTTCGAGGTATCGGCTGGTGCTGTTTAGGAGTACCCGGTTCGTGGTAACGGTGAACAAACGGACAATGGACAGACAGACAGACAGACAGACAGACAGACAGACAGACAGACAGACAGACAGACAGACAGACAGACAGACAGACAGACAGACAGACAGACAGACAGACAGACAGACAGACCAGAGTTTTTGCGTCGAAGGTCGCCAAGAAAGACTATCGTCATTAATAATCATCTCAAAGAGACAGATAAAATATTATGTTACGCCAGAAAATGATTTTGTAAATGACCAAAATCCACGAAGTAAATCATGAAGAGTGAGCGAGACTCTAAGTATCGTACCGAAGAGTAACCGTTCGTTACCCAAGCGTTGCATCATGCAGTGTAAATTCAGTGACATAAAGTGTATACAGAAATGTAAATTTATTTCGCCAACCAGACACCTCAGGCAATTCAAGAAGGATTTAAAAAATTGCTGGAGTGGAGTACATGCATCGAAAGTCAATCCAAGAACCCGCCATCTTACCGGTGACACGATACCATTAAAACATGGATTCTTTGCTGGGACATATAGAGCTCGACGTTCGAGGCTTCCTTTAGGTAGAGAGCCACACTTATATAGTGGAGATCAACTCCTCAACACTAGTCCCGCCGTGGTGGTCTAGTGGCTAAGGTACTCGGCTGCTGACCCGCAGGTCACGGGTTCTAATCCCGGCTGCGGCGGCTGCATTTCCAATGGAGGCGGAAATTTGTAGGCCTGTGTGCTCAGACTTGGGTGCATGTTAAAGACCCCCAGCTGGTCGAAATTTCCGAAGCCCTGCACTACGGCGTTTCTCATAATTATAGGGCGGTTTCGGGAAATAAAATCCCACGTATCAATCAACTCCTCAATACTCTATTAATACTCTTTTCAATGGGCTATTTTTCCCGGAAACAGCAATCTCGTACCTTATAATTAGCCTGTGTCTACGTTGAAGTCTATTGTAAAACCTTTGTATATGTATGTATATATATAGTACTTTTTTTTAACAGTTTGCTCAATTTTATCACTATAAATCAGTCTCCCTGTTTATTCTGTCATGGAAGGAGCAGCAAATGGTAGAGCTTTCTGCGTTGGGTTCCGTTTATGTAGTAACTTGTTTATAAATTTTTCTTCTAATAGTGAACAATAGTTAAGTCTGTAAAACCGTGTTCGGTAAACACATGTCTCTACCCCTAATGCAAGTTCAGAATGCACCATGACAGGCGACACAAATCATTTTACTGCAGTCGGGCGACAGTAAAGCAGTGACCCCAACCACTTTCGTAGCCATTCATAAATACGAGCGAAAAAAAATATTTTCATGTATGACGTGAAAATGACGTCACTCGAGTGTTGGGTCTCGCGACGGACTACGCGGCAAACTATGCACCTCAACGCGGAGCTGCGCGCGTGATGCTGTTGTAGTGAGTCACACCAACTCTCGTCACTTGATTTGATTGATTGATATGTGGGGTTTAACGTCCCAAAACCACCATATGATTATGAGAGACGCCGTAGTGGAGGGCTCTGGAAATTTCGACCACCTGGGGTTCTTTAACGTGCACCCAAATCTGAGCACACGGGCCTACAACATTTCCGCCACCATCGTAAATGCAGCCGCCGCAGCCGGGATTCGAACCCGCGACCTGCGGGTCAGCAGCCGAGTACCTTAGCCACTAGACCACCGCGGCGGGGACTCTCGTCACTTCGCCCACTTCCAAAGATAGACACACAGCCCCCTATTTACTTATTTACTTATTTATTCGTTTATTTATTTGTTTGATCTACTTTGATGTCTCATTATTATTTGTGACTACATTGAACTACTGTGTCTGCTCTCACATCATTAGCAGTACGCAATTGTTGGCTAAGCGCTGTCCAGTGTTGGCTGTGAAATGAGTAACAATGAGTGGAATTGGCTAATCGTCCAGCGTTAACTAGCTGCTCTCCTAAAAGCAACGTTGTTCTCATTCAATCTCAATGCAATCATACCATCCCCAATCTTAATCCATCCTTTCCACTAACGCAAATTGAAGTGCTAGTAAAGAGCGAGTAGAAAGCCTTTTCTTTTATTTCGTGTCGGTTGTGAGGCGAGGCGAAGAAAAAAAAGTTAGACAGGAAACGTCGGAGTCCTGCCATCCACGCATATCGCTGTACCCGTCAACAGGCGGGTCGATGCCCGCGAGTGGCGCCGCTGTACGCTACGTGATCCGCTACGCAGTCCACGCCACTCCGGTGAAAACGCGGTGCCTACACACCCAGCGCACTGTCGACGTTGTGTACTAGGCGACGAAAGCCTGAGAAAATCACGTATGGACGAGGCGGTTGCTGTTATTGTTATCATTTGCTGCCGTTGGAGTTGTCCTCATCGTTGTTGTTGGTGGTGGTCGTCGTGCTAGACTACGATTCCACTGTCCGTAAAAAAGAAAAAAAAACAGCCAATCGTGATGCTGACCGCACCAGCAACGTAAACAACAATGAACAAAAGCATGAGTGAATGATTGAGAGAGAGAGAGAGAGAGAGAGAGAGAGAGAGAGATAAAGATGCAAGGAAAGGCAGGGAGGTTATGCAGACGCACATCCGGTTTGCTACCCTACACTCGGGAAGGGATAAAGGGGAGAAAAGAGGTTGCAGAGAGATGAGAAAGTGCATCTGCCTCAGAAGCGCAGAAAGCAACTAAAGCACTGCTACTTTACCTAAAGACAACAAACCTGAGCGACCGCCTGTAGACTGTGTTTGCTCCCCGAGTGTGCTCGTGATTGAGTGAATGATAAGCTGCACAATTAGGCTAATTACCCCAATGTATAAAAGTGCTCTATCGCTAAAAATTTTCGTAATAAAAAAATTCCTACTGTATCTGCTTCCAGCCACATTGCAACTGAAACGACCATTCTGAGGAAAAAAGTGCATTTATGAGAAAAAAAACCTCGTTTTAGCCAATTATGATGACTTGATGATACAAGAGTACAGGGAAGGCTGATATCAATAACACATTTACATTTTAAGGTTATCAGAGATGATTACGTATGCTGCTTTATCTGAACATTCGCAATACCAGTTTTGCATCTTCTTGTAGGTGTGAATACTATACCACGTGATGTTTAAATTTATTTCTTCCTTTCCTGCCTATGCTAGATGTTTTCTCTTCTAGCGTTGACATGTGTTATTTCTGCTGTGTATGCAGTGCGACGACCATAATGCACACAATCGTAGCTCCAGAATAAAAGAGCAGAGGTGCAGTGCACTACACACATTTGAATGCATACGCTTCCCGTCACAGCCTTGGCAGCTTTTCCTTTTCGTATTCATGTCTAGGTAGAATCTTCAAGCAGTTTTATCTTCAGAAGTCCAATGCTTTTGTTTGTTTGCTTGCTTGTCAGTTTGTTTTAGTCAAAGCCGAATTCAAAGCTTTCCGCATTTTTCTACAGAACGTAGGCCTACAAAACTTGCAACTTATTACCCAATCACTGTATATGTTTTCGAATTTTCATGACAGGGGGCCGTTATACTGAAACGAACGCCGTCTAACGAGCAAGTGTGGCGAAATCACCATCTTGGGCTGCGAGTACTTTACCAGTGCGTTATTCGTTGGCGCGAGATCGCTGCTAAAGCCTGCGTCCGCCAAATTTTCGCTTGCTTAGACTGCTTTGTGCGATATCGTCGCTGCCACTGAAGGATTCGTCAATGTGAACCGTTAGTGGCATGCATTCACGCTAGCGACGTGAAAATGAGCTCCGCGTCCGCGAACGGCGGTTCTTCGTCGTCGGTACAATATGTAGCAGCAAGTGCAATACCTTCTGAGATTCACGTACAGACGTAATCACACTTACCTAGAGCAGTGGAGCGCGTGGTTGTGGATGCTGTTGTCAGCAGCTGCTACTTCACATTAGCTACAGGCTTCCGTTATTGCTTGAAATATAGCAAAATAGCTATAAATGCGGTATAACTATGTCAGGTATCATTACAGCATCAGTATTTGCATATTTTTTGCTGAAAACGGCATCTAAAGTGACTGAATGAGCACTCTAGACAGGTGTGACTCCGCCCGTATCTTCTCTAGGTATCCAAGATGCAGCACAGAAACGTTATTCGGTTTCTTTTTTTTTTTTTTTTTGCCACCAACAAAGCGCCGTGAACAGAGACGTGACAATAGCAACACACGGAGGTTCTTTCGATTTACTAACGACACCCACGGCTTCCGAAATCAGGCGCCTGACGGAAAGTGATGTAGCAGCGAATATATCACACCTACACGCACACATCGCGTAGCGTACTGTGTTGCAGACACACGATTTCACCCAAATTGTTCCTCTTGCACTGATCGTTCATGCACCCGTACATGACACAGTGATGGTTAGATGGTCTGCTCTTAGAATACGCACGCTTCACTTCACGACAGTCATTTTTTATCGGAGAGAGGCGCTTAGTAAACATACTATATATAAGCATACCATGCATGGTGCAGGTGCGGCATGCGCAGCCCAAGGCACAATGGCAACACTGAGACTATACCCTCGACACCTGCAGCTGACTGGTTCGAGAGTGCTTCTGTGAAAAGGTGTATACAATATCGGCAAATAATTTTATTCCGACCTTAAAGTTGACAAGCCTCAATAAAACCCTGTAAACAAGCGTTTTACGTCTGGGTGTCATGTGGTTGTATACCAGCTCTTTGTGCGTAGATATACCTCTATATGTACCCCAATTATCGCATGACAGCTGCAACATAGCAAGCCAGGCGGGCGAACATCCCCCACATATCACAAAATATACTCTAGCACATATAACATCTCTCTCTTTCCCAGCGTAATAGGCTTTCAACAAGCCATTGCACTCGCGCCCATCACCAGTACTTCTCCTTTTCTACACTCTAATTCTCTACAGACTACGTCTTCGTAGTCTACTGACTACTGCAGCCTTCGTGCAATCTACGCCTTCGTAGAAAGCGAGTCATTAAACTGGTTTCATCGCCTACCTGTGACCTCCTCCTCTCAAAGTCGGGCATCACCTGGCTTCGAGCAATGCCTTCAGCTGCGCTGCCTGTTGCAGGAATGTTCTGTCCCTGCACGTGGTCGCTCTACCACCGACAAACACCGACATTTCCACGAGGCGTGCAGTAAACGAAGACCCAACGCAGGTAACCAGATTCATCGCGCACAACTCCGACAAACATCGCAGCCGACACGCGAGACGCAAGGTGTGACAACACGCGGAGATGACGGGCTGCCGGACCCGCGATGACACACGCGCGTTGACAGAACAGTCGAAGGAAGAGAGCACTCGTGAGGGGAGTCAACCGCTACTCGACTGCCCAGCGAGCCGGCAGCGCTGTCTAGACGAAAATGTGCGTGCAGTGCGGCAATCTGCTCTCTCTTTCTCGGTTCAAAGTAGGAGCGGAGAAGAAGCGGACAGCCACACAGGGGCCGGACGGCGCGGCAGGCTCAGTCGGAGAGCACAACCTCAGCCGCGGTAGACGGCAAAATGAGGGCGAGGGCTTTAAGATATATGGCGGCAGACCCGGCGGCGATGCAAGAATTCCTGTTGCTCCTCATCTGCCCCTCGTTGTTGTTGTTGTTGTTGTTGCCCCTTCGCACTGGCACATACCCACTATGGGGGATTGGCCATGAAATCTAGAAGTATCCTATATGAGATATATTAAAAGGTTTATCCTTAATGAAAAAACTAATGATGTAATAGAAAATAATAATTAACTAAAAAGGAATATTAAACTAAACAAATAATTGAAGATTGAATCAAGAAGAGAAAAGGTGAGGTAATACTACAGTGGAAGACAGAAATTTTGAGTAGACCAGACAATCGAGCTTATCTCACCCGGTCACAATCAAATGAATATGCAAATTTCATTCAAAATTAGACAAGTGTCTTCAGAAATATATTTAAGCAGGCATTATTATGACATGCGCTCGTCTATCCATCGCTTCCTTCTCTTCGCTCCTAGCCCACTTTAAACACTAGGGGCACATTCATGTCTTTGCGTACCGCCGGGCAACGTATGGTGCAGATCCGTCTCTTTTTTTTTCTTTTTTTTTTACAGCACTCGGGAACACCTCGCAGCTGTATGCGCGTGGAGTGCAGCGTGCATACAGCTGCGAGGTGTTGCCGAGTGCTGCTTTTGTTTTAATTAGGCCTGGGTTGGCAACCGTTTGTCGTCATTTGCTTCTTTTTTTGTGAGAACGTATGTGAGTGGTGCAAGAGGTTCCGGCGTCTATAGTGGTGCCGAGACATGGCGAAGAGGGGAATAGGTGTCTGGCACCGCCCCTTTTCACGCCAGAGAAATGGAAGGCGTCGGCGCTTTTCCTGCTAACCCCCCTTCCGCCGTTTCCTGTTTCGGAAACGCGGAATTCCCTTCTTTTCTCTGTCTTATTTCTTGTTCTTGTCGTTGCTCTTGTTATGAAGAGCTCTCTAGTTGTTTTCTGTTCGCCTACGGCCACTCATCATTCTCACATCGTCGCCTTCACTCCGCGCTGTTATTTCATAATAGTGTTTTTTTTTTTTTTGTCCCTCTTTTGTTCCCCTATCACTTCCTTTAGGTGAAGAATAAAGAGAAAAACTGTGCAAACGTGTAGCGTGAAATCACTTATCGTGAATCATTTTTTCAAGATATGAGACCACAACACAGTTTACGACGCGCACTTTCTCCAATGCGCACAATGTTTCTTATAACTGAGGCGCTAGCGACATCGTCATAAGAAAGAAACCGTAAAACGGGGATTCGTGTAGAAAGAAAAATTAAGGAAAATGGGTTATCTAGTGTCCTGAGTGGTCTTTCTCACCCACCGAATGTCAGGTGAAAACGTCACTAACATCCGCACGTCATTATCCCTGACACGGATGAATTTATAATACATTATCTTTATTCACGCAGAAGAAGCCAGCTTGTCTTTATATAATGATTTCGTCAGTGGGTGCACTTACTCAGGTTCATCTTCGCGAGAATGCTGAGGAGCCATATATAACAGAATATCGCTGGCCCGTCAATTTCGTAAGCGTATTATCGACTGAAGTTGCCTCGAATTTCGAACACGTCGCCAGAATTGATAGCCCTTACTTCTTGATTTTGTAACATTCTACCTTCATCGGGTTATTCGTTTCAAGTGACTTAAATATTCGTAGAACGCCTGTAAGATGCATGCAGTGATGGTCTTCCTGAATCAGTGTCTCAGATATATTTGACAATCCTCCTCAGTAATTGAAAATTCTCTCTTGCTTGCTGCATCCAGAAAGTACTAGCTACTTTAGGCTTTCTTTTTGGTAATTATATTTTCAGATAACAGCTAGTGTATAGCACACATGTTTCGTCATGTTTTATTGCTGAAAATCCTATTTCGAAAAAATTGCAGAGTTATAGTTTTAAGCGGTGTGCGTCCGAAAAGATTCACTCCATGCACGGCTGGTGCTGAAGCCTAGCTGAAGTTCAGGTGACAATGTGTAGCCGTATCGTGCATGTGTCTACGTCGCCTCCCATTATAACTATAGAAGCTATGACGAAGGGGTTCGGGCGAATAAGGCAACAGGCTAGGTCACAAAGCAACATTTTAAAGGAACGATGACATCAAATTTACTCATGTCAAGGTTTTTGCGTGAACGATTAGCTATCGACCCCCTAGTAGCGATTCACAACTTGAAACGCATCTGAGTGACGAATGAATATCTGTAAAATTGATAAATATATCCGCTATAGAACGTGGTTCAAAATGGGTGGAAAACCCGCCAAATTGTAGTGCTGTGAGCGCTACCTCACGGCCACGTCGAGGCCGCTGCACAGCTGATGCGGCTTCCACAAAAAACGGTGACGTCACGCACACTGGCATTTCGTCTGCCAGGGGCACCCGTGCAGTCAGTCCAGCTACAGTGTACTCTAGAAACTCCTATTACACTGTAGTTCAGCTGTGTCTCTGATGGTATAGACTAAAGCCCATCCATGCGTTTTCCGCCGGCTAGGTTGAGTAGTGCCAACTCGTTCTTTCTCTCTCTCTTTAACCCCGGCCTCGAGAAAAGGCCTTGTACTGCCAGTGAAACCCATCTGGTTCGCCAACACAAGATTTACCCTGCAGAAGCTCGGCGCATAGTGAAGAAAGAAAATGCGGCTGTTCTTCACACGCGTCCAGCCCCTCTGTCCATCGGCGCGTACGAACTCAATCCACTGGCTGCGTTAAGGTTCGTGGCTCGGAAAGACATAAAACGCCACACACATTCCGCTTTTTCCGCGCCTCGGCGTGCAGGTTCTCACTGCAAAGCGGTTGCCCGACATTCTGGCACGTATTGTCACTTTGAATGATCGTGCTCACGCTGTGAATCACATGTCAAATCAGTCGATGCGACACGATGAATCGCACGCACGCTTAAACACAGCAAGGAGAGCCATTAGTGAGAGCTTGGCCGGGAGTCGGCTCCAAATACACTCAGATTGTTCGACGTCATTGTTACTAGTGTATCGTCACTCAGGATAGTACTTGTGGAATGTATCACACCGAACACGTAGCACTAGTGTCGATTTCGCAGGGCAGTTTGTTTTCCATTTTTTGTTCCTTAACTTTTCTACGCTGTTTCACATCGAATTAAAATAACTTCCATGCGACGGATGTCATTTCAAATTTACCAAGAATATCGATGAATACCAAGTGATCGAATGATGGGCACATCTCGATCTTGAAATTTGATGTCAGCGCTCCTTTGATGCTACGCGAGCTGTAACGCGTAAACGTCACTTAGAGGGATAGTCCACTCTATGTAGAAAATAAATGTTAAAGCTTATTGCTTTGGTCGATCGGTGGCTCGCGATTTTAGTCTACCTAACCCACGAGTAAAGAATAGGACGTTGAGTAGTGTTGGAGGGCCATCACATTCAAAGTGCTGGAACAAATCAGCCCACGTAGCACAGTCGTAACTTCAAGAGGACTACGAGAGCTCTCACAGAACGCTTGTGCCCGTGTCTCAGTATTTTCAATTTGTTTTCCTGGAAATCCTGGGAGCTGCCGCTCCCTCCTTTGCGGTGATGCTTCAGGACACACCTGAGAATGTTCCAGGCGTGCAACCGTCGCGCCGGATTTCGTCGTCCAGGAAGCGTAGCAACGCGTCGAGCGACACCGACAGTGAGGCAACCGATTTGTACTCGGACGGCTTTGAGTCATCGGATGACTTCACGGTCGTCATGAATCGATCTACAAAACGAAGACTGCTGCGGACGGCATCGTCGGCAAGTGTTTCCACCATTAAGACTGCACCACAGCGGTGGCCACACACCATGCTGTTTATTCCCGAAGACCCTGCATCTAACTTGCGACTCCTCAACAGGCAAGTTCTTTCTGTGCTTCTCGAGGAAACCGCGCCGAATGAGATCAAAGACGTGAGGATCAATGCACGAAAGAATGTCCTTGCTGTAGACGTTATGCACCGTAGCGCACTGCAAAGCCTTCGGCTCATAACAGAAATCGGCGACGTGAAAGTTCGGCCAATGGTCGCTACAGGTTGTAATGACACTGTAGGCGTCATTTATGATGTGGATCTTTCCATCTCAGCTAATGACCTGCCAATACTAATAAAGCCAGCGACTAGAGGCACCCGCATCACGCACATTACCAGACTCGGCAACTCACGCTGCTTGAGGCTTGTGTTCGAGGGAGACCGCCTTCCCTCGTATGTCAAAGTTGGCCATGTTCGCCACTCAGTGCGTCCTTACATACCGAAGCCACTGCAATGCTACAAGTGCTTCAAGATGGGACACGTAAAAGGTGTCTGTGAGAACAAAGTTGTGTGTCCGCGGTGCGCTGAGTCTCACTCAAAAGACGCCTGCAGTGCCACCATGCTACAATGTCCAAACTGCCACGGCGCTCATGAGGCCTCATCCAAAGATTGCCCGTGGGTGCGAAACGAGCACGCGGTACTCAGGCGTATGGTGCGGGACAATTCAACGCACAGGGAAGCTGCCGCTACACTACGCCGACGACGGCGTCGTGGGCGAAGACCATCACGGAAAAACGGCTCTACCGATAGAGAGATGTCATCCTCTATCAAAGAGGCTGACCCACAAACACCGAGCTCACTGAAGACGGATACTGCCAAACAGAAGAAAGGGACAGCAGTCGCACCTTCCGAACAGTGGCCCTCTCTTCCACGACGTCAACCTACTTCGGAGCTGCATCAAATCCCGCCGCCCTCGACGACCCCTCAAACCAGTGACGCGATGAATCAAGATCAAGTGATAAGCTTGCTGCAATCGCTGATGAGTACCATGCGTGTCCTACTGAGTAATATGAAGACTTCGGCTGCGCAGACCGCACTGCATGTTCTGGACACCCTGAGTCCAGTGCTTGCAGCTCTAAGGTAAAACCATGGCCAGCGAGGCACCGT